CTGCACATCCCTCCTGACCAACCCCTCATGGCATCCACAGCTCCCTGCTCTGCACATCCCCCCTGACCATCCCCTCATGGTACCCACACCCCCTGCACATCCCTCCTGACCATCCCCTCGTGGTACCACACCCCCTGCATACCCCTCCTGGCCAACCCCTCATGGTACCACAGCCCCTGCTCTGCACATCCCTCCTGACCATCCCCTCGTGGCATCCACAGCTCCCTGAACATCCCTCCTGACCATCCCCTCATGGTACCACAGCCCCTGCTCTGCACATCCCTTCTGACCACCCCCTCATGGTACCACACCCCCTGCACACCCCTCCTGACCATCCCTTCATGGTACCACACCCCCTGCTCTGCACACCCCTCCTGTCCAGCTCCAGGGTGGGAGCCACGGCAGTGCTGGGGAGGGGTCACGGGCACTCCTGCAGGTCTGTTGGCAAATCTGGAACCTTCCCATTCCCCTTCACTTCAAAGTTTATTTGGAACCATTCCAATTGCTGCCACCAGTGCCACAGCCCAGGCTGCTCCCAGTGCCAGGTATTTCAGTTGATATTTATTAGGATAATACAGAGCAACTATAATTCTTAGCAGGAATGTTGTTATTGCAGCCAGAGCCGCGGGTAGAATTAGGCAAGGTGTGCACAAAGCCACCTTTCTCCCACAGAACTGTCAGCCCAGGGCTCCCAGCCCCCAGCCCAAGGGCTCCCCAGGGGAATGCTGTGCTCTGTGGAATACAAATTAAAACAGAAAATCAATGCTTAAAGGGCTCAAGCTTTGAACCCAGAGCCGTGCCTGCGGGGTTATAAGGGAAAAATTAAAAGTGAGTTATGAAATGCCCCTGGAGCCCACACTAATGATCCTCCTGGCTTGGCCTCTGCTCTTCTCAGGGGCTGATGCGGAAGAAGTTAAACTTTTCCAGCCCTCAGCACTCAAGGAATTCACGCTCCATCTGCCTGTGTAAACAGGGAACTTGGCATTGTTTAACTGGGGGCTGAACTCCTGTG